TATATATATAGCGCTATATAACATATAGTATATATATATATATATATATATATATATATATATTTATTAATTTATTTATTTATTTATTGTAACATAGATGTTATTTAAATGATGTTCAATGTCGGCTGGATATATATGACCATATTCAATAATTAATAACTCGAAATCTTGTGTGCTATTTGCAAAATGCTCGAGGACTTTTCTGCTCACCTCAATCCGTTCTACGCCCTCACGAATCTTGTAGATCTGTGATACTCTGTATAATTTATATATTATTACACATGGACATGTAGAGAGACAAAATTCATATATAATAATGTTTTTTCCGGGATGCTAATTCCCTCGTGCATATGCAATATGTGATTATGCAAGTTTACCTAGATAAGCCTTTGAGGTTGGCACGTGTTAGAGAAGTGATTTGTTTTTTTTTGGCGTGACTCTGCACTAGTTCATCTAAATTCTATTTTACACAAAGTCACAGTTACATATATGTGTCTACATATGTTTCTTTTTCCGAAGTTCCGAAAGTGTGTATTGGTTCAGTGATAAAGGACAGAAGGACTGTTACGATTCTCAAGACGAGATGAAAATGAGACGAGAGTGAGCAAACTCACCGGCTGTAGATCAATGAAATTATAAATATCCTACTAATTCGCTCACCTTGTAATTTCCACCTCGACTTAAGGAAGAAGTCGATCATGAATCTTCTCTAGCATGAGCTCGTGAAAAGTGAACATTTTCATATGCTCTGACATTAGAAAATTTTGCCTTCCACACCGGAGCAAAAGATTCATGATCGATCCCGAGAACCGTAACAGCTCCTCAAATCTGCCCGAGAAATATGATTACATATGAATTTTGTTTATATATATCCATATATAATCATACAATTTATTTTTAATTATGTAATCATATATAATTACATATGTCCTATATCTAAAAAATACTGTTATACAAATATAATTGAAGCAAATGCTTGTGTTCATGGCTGCTCACGATATGTAAACACTTAATTCAATCAAAATATTTCTTCCGTTTTTCATTCAACAATATTTTTATTTCGTGTGGACATATATAAGTTATATATGTTGCCATATGGAGACAAAAATTCATGTATTTATTACATATGATATGATACATAATCCCTTTATTCCGGGTATTTGCGATTGATCCCGTCGGACTCGGCGTTTTCGAATCCCGCGCGCCGGAGGGGCGGTGCGCCGGTAGCGACAGCTGCCGAGTTCAGACTCGCAGTGCGAACGTTCGTGATTCGACGGCGAGCGCATACACACGCGGCGCGAGAGCGCGCGCGTCTCTCTTTCTCTCTGTCGGGCAATCGAACCCGTGGAAACTATACCGGTTTCTCGATGCTACTCCGGCGGTGAATGACTTTCGGGGGACCGGACGCTCACGCGAATCGTCGTCTGGAATCGTCGCGAGCGGCGCGCTCTCTTCGGAGATCGAAGAGGCGGAGCGAACGCGCGCACGCGCAGTCGCGCGTTTCTGGCACTTGGACTGTGTCGCGGGGCGCTGCCGCGCGCAGCCGACCGTCTCGACAGTCGCACGGTGGATGTAAGGGTGTCGAGACGACGGAGGAGCCGTACAGCGCCGGAGTACGGCGGGCACTGCTGCACGGGCTGCGAAATTTCTCTCTCTCTCTCGCGCGTGCGGCGGAGGCTCGTTCGTTCGCTCGCGCGACACGTGTAAATAATACCTCCCCGGGGGCTGAATATCTCTCGCGCGCGCTTCGCCGCCGACTTCAGCCACGGCTACGTGAATCCCGCCAGGTAATCCGCGACAGCGGAGCGCCGCCGTGGTAGCTTCCGCCAGCACTGCCTCTCGCTGCCGCGTGCTGCTGCTGGCCGACGGAGTCTACTCAGGCTACTCTTGTACGTACAAACGTCTGCGTCAGGAAATGGAGCTCGAGCAGGCGGCACCGCAGCCCGTCACGGACCTGGTGAGTGGCCTATTTCGCGTGCACGCGGCTCTATGCGTGCCCATAGGTGCGTATTTCCGCGGCTTTCGGTCGCGCGAGCGCTCTCGCCTCTTGGTCGCTCCGCGGCATCGGCGACGCGAAATTTTTCTAAGTCCCAAAATGGCGTCTGCGGCTAAGTCCTGTGCCGTGCGTGGCGCGAGCGCCGGAGAGTGCCTCCGTGGCCAGTGTGTTAGCACACTGAGTCGACGCGGCGCCGAGACCGCGAGAGAGGAGAGAGAGAGAGAGAGAGAAAGCGCCTTTCTCTCTCTGTTTCTCTCTCTCTCTCTCTCTCTTTCCTTATGTTCCCCGAGTAACAACTCTCTTTCTGTCTCCACGGCCCATGTCTGTTTCAGGATAAGCAGCGATCCAAGGAGATCAGCAGCGCGTCCGGGAATCATAACGGTGAGTGCTTTCGTTCGGCCGTAGCGCGTTTGTGACCCGAGCACGGGACGTCTCGTCGTGCCCACGGCGAGGTCGTCGACGACCGACAGTCGCACGTGCTTTTCCGCGTGCATCTGTCGTCTTTTCGCCTCCCCTGCTCGAGCTCGGCGACGGATACGACGCGAGGAAATTCCCGCCCACGGAAGTTTCCAGCCCCCCCCTTTTCCCCCCTCCACGAAATCGGATTTTCCAAGAGGTCCGGTGCGCGCCTAATGATATGCGACGCCGCTTCGCGTTTATTCGAACGGACGGTGAAACGGTGTCGAGAAGATGAGGATGCCCCCTTCGGCTGCTACTCGAAGCCGAGATAGCACGCGCGTTTTTCGAACGTGCCCTTTCGAAGAGGGAACACCATGATGCACGGGTTTTCCGAGTGGCTTCGGTTATAAGTCGACCTTCGCCGCGACCGGATTCTCAGTGTGCGGAACGACGCGCCGGATATCGTTTCTAATGTTGAACTCTGAACCGAACGAGCCTCATTTCACTATACTTTTGGCTGCATCGAGCTTTACATAAATGAATCGATTTTTTTTCCCACACAACGCTACACCGGGTTGTTTGTTTTCTATTCCCGCATTGGCTGCACTAGCTTGCATTGGTTCTCTTTTCCTCCCTTTCTTGAGATTCGCTGGAAAAGGGAGAAAAGGAGAACCAGTGCAGGAATAGAAAACAGACCCGCTGTTAGGCATATTAATGAGACTGGTAGAGTTTCATTAGAAAAGTGTGTCACAATTCTACTTTTATATAATTCCTGTAGAAACTCATATCAATGGGATGTCCAATGGCTTCGATAAGAAGAGGGAACACAAGTCTGAACATAGGGACAAGGATAAAGAACGATCTCACAAATCGGAACATAAGGATAAGGACAGGAGCAAGGACAAGGAGAGAAACCACAAAAGCGAGCACAGAGATAAGGACAAAGACCGGCATAAACATAGTTCCAGTTCTATTAAGGATAAAGAGAAGCATGACAGCAGCAGCAAAGATAAGGACAGGGACAAGAAAAGCTCCTCCTCCTCGTCCAACAAAGACAAGGAGCACAAAAGCAGCAGCTCCTCCAGCAAGGATAAGGACAAGAGCAAAGACAAGGAACATCACCACAAGTCGAGCTCGAGCTCTAAGGATAAGGACAGGTAAGAAGAAGAAGAATAAGGGAAAGCGATTTAATTAAGTATACACCGATGCGCTGTGCTCATAAAATGTGCCCATATTTTCTAGACATCACAGCAGTTCCAAGGATAAGGACAAGGATAGCTCAAGTAAGGACAAAGAGAGTTCTAGCAAGGATAAAGATAGCTCGAGCAAGGACAAGGACAGCTCGAAGAGCAAAGACAAAGATAGGCATAGACACAGTTCCTTGAACTCGAGCTCGCGCGACAAAGATAAGGACAAGGACAGAAGTATTTCGAAGGACAAGGAGAAGGACAGAAAGCATTCGTCGGAGAAAGACAAGGAGAGACATTCCACTTCCCATTCGGGTGATAAAGAGAAGCACCGTTCGTCGGACAAAGACAAGCACAGCTCGTCGTCGTCCAGCAAAGACAAGCACCGCCATGATAAGGACAAGGATCGCCATCGGCACGATAAAGACAAATGTAAGTTGATTCATCAAGCGTTTGTGTGTACGTATAACATTCGTTCTCTTCAATCGTCCCGTTTCGTTCGCAGCTAAGCATCGCGACGATAAGGAGAAGAAGGAGAAAGAGGTGAAGGAAGAGATAAAAGTGAAGGAAGAATTGAAGGAAGAGCCGGTGGAGCGGATAAATCACTCGATTAACGAAGGGTTGCGCGTTAATCCGGAAATAAAGCTACGTCTGAAGGTAATTATCCGCTGTGGTGACTGTGTTTCGCTCTGAGCGAATGATGGAGCGAGCGCTGGTTGTTTGTGCAAACTAGGGGTAGAGTCGACGTGAGGACACGCGTTTGCACGCTGCATTAAGCCCGTGTCAGACTACGGATTAGAGATTGAGATTGAATTAAATTTGACCAATCGGTACAAAGAGTTAACTGAACTCGAGTTTAGTGGAATTTAGTGAACTTTGCATTTTGATTGGTCAAACTTCAATTCAATCTCAATCTCCATTCCTAGTCTGATACGGGCTTTAGGCCCGTCCGGGCGACGACCCTTCCGGCCCGGTTGTGAGATTCGCGAGAAGGCAAAGTCGGCTGATGACTCAAGGTTCTCGCGATATGTTGACTTCTGTCCCTTAATCTGTATACACACTATATCAAACCTATGCTCGCGATATGCAAAATCTTCGCTGACGCGTGAAGGGCTCGAGGAGAGCCTTTGTAAGGCAGCGAACCGCCATGTTCCCCCGTCCTTCCGGGCGGAGTGGAGAAAACTGCACGCTCCAGGTGACTTATGGTCACCCCTGTTGGCCTTTCCGGACCTGTTGGCGTATGCACGACGCCGCGGGGAGAGCAAATTTTGTCCCGTGGACTCTAAGTACTCCTCTCTTTTGGACTTAGAGACTGCGCTACGAGCCGCCCATCCCTTTACATCCACTCCTCGTGTAAACGAGGCTTAAAGCCGAGTGGTCGACTCGTCTCGCTCCGAGTCTATGTTCCTCTGGGAAAAACACTTAGTCTATGCGCGCGTCTCGGCGATAGACAAAGAGTAGTTCGCTGCGTCAAGTCCCCCCC